CCCCCCACCCCCGTGGGTGCTGCCATCTTTGTAGTGGAGTGGTTGTCAATTTGCACATTCCCTCTTTATTATAAAGGATTGTGAGTTGAATATCAGTTTTCCTCTTAGATAGCATTGCTCTACCATCTTATCATACAATGTTGCTGTTCACCTGTGATTCCACTAAGTCTAGTTTTTTTGCACATGACCTATGTTTCCTTTCTGCAAATTTTTGTGATCTTCTCATATTAGCACATAAAACATTAATTATGCTGGGAATAAAATCTAGACATTCATCTTGCTCAGTAAGGGGAAATTTTCTTGAATCATTTCTTTGAGAGGTCTTCCCTCTCCCCTGTCCCCCTAAGAAAGGTAAAGAAATATGTTTTCTCTGCTGGTTCTTTCTGGAATTTTATTACTGGGATGTTGAACTTCATGAATGTTCTTTATTTTATTTTTTAAAACTTTATTATTATTATTAATTTATTTATTTTTAATCCTCACCCCAGGATATTTTTCCATTGATTTTTTTTTTTTTTTAGAGAGAGTGGAAGAGAGAGGGAAAGACAGAGAGAAACATTGATGTGAAAGAAACACATCGATTGGTTGCCTCCTGCCTGTGCCCTGACTGGGGTTTGGACCAGAGAGGAGCCTGCAACTGAGGTACATGCCTTTGCTGGAATTGAACCCGGGAGGGACCCTTTGGTCCACAGGCCAATGCTTTATCCACTGAGCCAAACGGCTCGGGCAGTGTTCTTTATTTTAAAAAAATCTTTAGTTATTTATCACTCTGTCTTAATGTTGTAATTTCTGGGAGATTTTCTTAGTGTTACCTTCCAATCCTTCTATTAGTTTTTTATTTGTGTTTTCTAATTTGAAATGTGTTATCCTATTTCTTGTTTTCTGATTATTCTCTCTTTTTAAAAAATCCTCACTTGCAGATATGTTTCTGTTGATTTTTAGAGAGAGAGGAAGGGGGGAAGAGAGAGAGGGAGGGAGAGGAGGGGGGGAGGAAGGGAAGGGGGGAGAGAGAGAAAGAGAGAAACACAGAGACAGAGATATCAATGTGAGAGATAAACATTGATCTGCTGCCTCCTGTATGGGCCCAACTCTGCAACCTTGGTATGTACCCTGACCAGGAATGAAACCCCGCGAGCCTTTGGTGCATGGGAAAATGCTCCAACCAACCGCCACCCCAGCCAGGACTGACTATTCTCTTTTTAAATGGAGTGTCCTGTTGTTACTGTTTTGTAGACAGACTTCCAACCCTTTCCTCTTGTTATTTAGCTTTTGCCCCACTATTTCTCCCAACACTTGGTATCTTTTCTGAGCTACTCTGCCAGGGCCCATCTGCCATTTTTAAATTGCAGTTTTTCTTCTTCCTTTGAAGCTATGTAACTTAATTTTATGATTGTAATTCAAATGAAAAGCTAAATATGTAAATTTAACATTAATTATATGAAGAAAATATTGAATGAAAGTTTTTTTGTCTCTCTTAATATCCAAATAGATATTGTGCTTTGTAATAATGAATTCTTTGAATTTTATTTGTGTAGAAGAAATTGAGGAAGAATCTGAAACAACCATTGAGGCTGACTTGACTGATAAACAGAAACATCAGTTGAAACATAGGGAACTCTTTTTGTCTCGCCAATATGAATCTCTGCCTGCAACACATATCAGGTAAGAACTTTTTAAGAAGTCGTTAGTATTCAATAATATCATGACAATTAAAAAACACTCCAAGCAACCTTCTTTGAGGCATTTTCCAAACTCTGCTCACGATCTTGCTCAAATTAGTTTACTAAATACTTCATAATGGAATCTTATCTTGAAAATTTATAGTGTGTCTTTGCATATTAAAGCCCTGAGAATGTTCTGCAGTAAAGTAACCACGTAGCTTTATTTTAATCCTGACTTTCCCAACTTATTTGGATTTCTATTAGCATCCTGTATAAAAGTGTCCAGGAGAGCCGAAGCCGGTTTGGCTCAGTGGATGGAGCGTCGGCCTGCGGACTGGGGGGTCCCGGGTTCGATTCCGGTCGGGGGCATGTGCCTGGGTTGTGGGCACATCCCCAGTGGGAGATGTGCAGGGGGCAGCTGATCGATGTTTCTCTCTCATTGATGTTTCTAACTCTCTGTTCCTCTCCCTTCCTCTCTGTAAAAAATCAATAAAATACATTAAAAAAAAAAAAGTGTCCAGGAGACATCCTGCATTTTGGGAAGTGCTGGTCTTTTCCAGAGTCCTAGAACATTACAGAGTCACTGGAGGCCCAGTGCATGAAATTTGTGTACGGGTGTGGTCCCTAGGCCTTGCCAGAGATTGAAGCATGAATGTCTAGCATGGAAAGGCAGGTCCCAGCTGACCTCTGGGCCCTGGGCAGCAATTGGGCCCCCAGGCCCCAGTGCGCCCCTCTCCATCTGAGTCATCGGGCTCCCGCCCAGCTCCCTCAGTGCCTGGGAGCCGGGTGGCAGCCCTGCCCCCTGCTGCCGCCACTGGTCGCTGTGATTGGCGGGGCGATTGGGCCCCACTGGCACCTGCCTTCGCCTGGTGCCGCCTGCTCACCTGCCCCACCATCCTGCCATGGTCCCGCTCTTGTTGGGGCCCATTGAGGCCAGCAGTGCCTACACTGCTGCCAGCATCGTGTTGCCGACCCCCACCATGTTCTGCGCTGCTCCCTTGTGGTCAGTGCACGTCATAGCAAGCAGTTGAACTCCCGGTCGAGGGGACACTTTGCATATTAGGCTTTTATTATATAGAATAGGATTAGAGTCCAAGAAGTAGGACCCAAGCTCTGGTTCTTAGGGCAGGTGACCTTTGATCCTGTAGAGTATATGGCCTTTTATTTTTCTTTTGAGGACCTCTGGGCTAAAAACTTTATATTCTTTATTACTTACTTGCATTTGCTTTGTGCATTAATAGGTTGTAAAAGTGGGAAAATTCAGTCTTGGTTTGTAGTTTGGGAAGTTGTGGAGGCGGGATGGTGGTTTTATATGACCTGCTGATAGTGGTATCATTTAAGCAGACATGGTTAAGCTGTTTCTCACTGTGGTTTATAATAGGTGCATCTTGGAGGTGTAACAAAATGTGTGAACTAAAAAAAGAGGTATTTACACACTTTTAGGATCAGGAAAACTTGGGGAGTTGGCATTTACTCAGCCTTTGAGATACTATGGGACATTTTTCAGGTAGAGGGAAACAGGTGAGCTTAGATGTGCAGGGAGCAGAATGTGTCCAGGGTGATAGGTGTGAGAAAATGCAGTGTTTCTGTCTCTTGAGGTAAAGAAATTCCTTCAACTCTTGTTCACAATCTTTATTTACTTTATTCAGTTCTCTTAAAAACTATTAATATAAGGAGTAAAATATGTTATATGTCAACTATTTATTTATTTCAGTAATTGCCCCTCCCTCCTCTTTAGCCTTCAATTCAGTATTGTATTTAAATCTGCCTTTTTGGGATTAAACAGGTTTGATGTGGTCCTTCTAACCACACACACACACACACACACACACACACACACACACACGCGCGCGCTCGCGCTCATGCACCTCAGCTCCAAGGGCCTCTTTTTAGAGTAGACATAGAGATCTTCTAAGGTAGGAAATGTATGACAAAGATACTGTAATTCTTTTCCCCCCAATTCTTTTAAGAAATGTTTTGATAACCCCCTCAATATAAGTTAACATATTGTTGCTTTATTTAGTTTTTTTTTTTTAAAGGAATACTGTGTTTAGATCGGCTATAGTTAGTATATTCTGTGTGAATTAGGTCCTTTTCTGAAAAAGATAATTAGGCCAGATAAGTTGGATAGTCATTTTACCCACCAATTAGGGGTATTTCAGGAATTAGGAGAGTAAGTTAATTTTTGCTCAAAAAGATAAAATGTGAAAACCGTTAATCATTTTCTTACAGATGTATGTAACTAATAAATGCTAAAGAGCCATATGAATTGATTATTTAATTGGAAGAAGCTAGAATATAAAAATTCATTTTAAGCTCAAGAAGTTATGTGGCCAGTTTTAAAAATCTTGCCAGTACAAGAATGTGACAAATGGTTTTTAAAATGTAACCAAAACACACAAGTATATTTTTAATTTACCCTCCTGATAGCTTAGAATCTGTTTACAAGTAATGCTAGTTTCCTTTAACAGATTGCTTGGAAGGGAAAAAGTGATGTGTTTTTCATCTTTCATAAGGACTGAGAGAGTATATTGAAACATAATTATCAAGACACCGTTGAACATAGAAATTACATGGTATATGTGATCAGTCACTGTTGAACCCATTTCCTGAGAATATTCCAGATTGGGTAGTTTACTAGGTGCTTGGTAAGTAAGACAAGGTCCCTATTTTATCAGGTGGCAATTCTTTTGAATTAAGATGGAGACACAGGCATTTGGGGCTTTGTTTTCTTCCCCAAATTAAAAGGGACATCTGTAGCTTTCACCTTTGAACAGCTGAATGGGGTTTGGGGCAGTCTCTGGCCAAAACATGGAGTCGTGCTGCCCAGCCCTCATGCTGATGTGGAACAAGTGCACGTTGAATGCGATCTGACATTTTGCTCCTGTTGAAGTCATGCCCTATCTATTTTGCTATAACAGAAGGAAATTACTGGAGCCCCGTTGTTGTTTGGCAGCAAAGAAGGCTCATTGGGTGAATACTGGCTTTTTAGCCTCAGGGACATTATATGTGCCCAGATTTTCCTTGTGCCATGTGGAGCATAGGAGAAAACCTGACTGAGGTATTCCTGAGGTTCTTTGTAATTTGTGAGCTATAATACTGTAGTTTGAGATGCTATGAGCTTCTCAGAATGACAGGGAAGCAACTCTTTGTTCCTTCTGATTCCCTGATTCCACTGGAAGAGAGAGATCCGGACAGTTCTGGGTAGGGTTAGTGATTCAGCTCTTTTTGTGAAATACATAGGACTTGAGCAATGAGAATGCTTTGGGAACTTTTTTGTTTTGACAAAGGGAAGAGGCAGCATGCTTCACACACAGTGTCTTAGGCCATTAATAATAAATTATATATGCTGCATCCATTTTATAAAGCACTATAAAATGGATTGTTAATGCCAGCTACGAGACCTGTTGTAAGTATATATAATACTATATTCAGTCATATACAGCCCATGTTTATTGAACTTGGCTTTTAAAATATCTAACATTTATTGAACCTTTATGATCACTGTTATCCCACTTGCTTTACATATATCTTATTTAATCCTCACAATGACTTGATGAAGTAGGTCCTGTTATAACCCCCATTTTACAGATGAGGAGACTGAAGCACAAAAATGTTAAGTAATTGTCAGACTCACAGCTTTTTTTAAAAAAAATTATTTTTATTGATTTCAGAGAGGAAGGGAGAGATAGAAACATCAATGATGAAAGAGAAGCATTGATTGGCTGCCTCCTGCACGCCCCATACCAGGGATTGAGCCTGCAACCAGGCATGTGCCCTTGACCGGAATTGAACCCAGGACCGTTTAGTCCACAGGCCAACACTCTATCCACTGAGCCGAACCAGCCAGGGCTGGACTCACAGCTTTTAAATGGCAGATTCAGAAATTGAACCCGGACTGCCTGGTTGCAGAGGTACAGCATTATGATGTGTACATGACATCAGGCATGGAAAGAAGCTATTCATAACTTGGTGACTAGGTAGGCTCACCCTATAATTCCTCCACCCAACAGCACCAATATTTTGGTGTATCATTAATACCTTTTCTAATCTTAAGTGTATTTGTTGGACTTTGGCCACAAGTTGCTGGAATTTACTTGGAATGACAATGTGTAGCTTCTTCTCTTGCTAAATAGTGCTTATTCTTCTGCACCACTATGTCATCTTTGCTCTTTCTAGCTTCGTTGATTTGTTTTTAAATATGTGAGAAATATGGTTGGAAAATGAGTGATGGAACAGCAGGAGGAGGGGATGACAGTTAAGTACAGGAAGGGTGTTCATTCAAGAAAGAATCCAAGTGTCACTGTCTTGGAATAGGCAAAGATTTTTAAGATTGTGAAGAGAGTCTTAATGTTTTCTTGATGTTTTACTATTTCATCTTTTGTATTGAAGTTTGTTTTATGTATATGGTGTGAAGAGGATCAGTTAGAAAACTAAGTTTAAAAAAAATAACCATTTACAATATCATCAAAGAACACTGAACACCTAGAAATAAATCTCAAGATGTTTGAAAAAGGGGAAAGATGTGTAAAAACTATTATAAAGTATTGCTGAAGGAATGAAAAGACTTAAGTAAATGCAGGATAAGTAAATGCATGACAGTATGTCAGTTTTCTCCACATTATTCCAAAGATTGAATACAGTTCCAAAGAAAAGCTCAGCAGTGTTTGCATGTGTGTGAAGTGTAAGTGTGTGTAAATTAAGCTGATTTTAAAATGTATGGGAATGTAAAGGATCAAGAAAGGTGAAAATAAGGAGTTTTAAAAGCGTGGTTCATGTACTCTGGAGTGTCCCTTTAAAACAAGCATGTGCCCTGATCAGGAATTGAACCGTGATCTCCTGGTTCATATGTTGAGGCTCAACCAATGCACCACACTGGCCAGCAGGGCTCTTTGTCTTTTCTTATATTTTCTGATTTTGGTTCTGAGCTAAGTCTGACTTTTCTCTTTTAGCCCATCTACTGATTCTTTAATTACTTAGTGTGCTTAGGCTCATAGGGTT